TCTCTCTCTCTCTCTCTCTCTCTCTCTCTTTCAGTAGTTCTTATGATATATAATAATGTTAATGAAGTTATGCATATAATAAACATTTTTTACTTTTCATATAAAATGAATTTGCGTTTAATTTAGTTTTATTATATGTTTTGAAAGGAATATTCACTGAAAAACTATCATTTTTCATGCATTGAAAATTAAATACCTATTTATTAATGTATTGCCAAACAATCTATTATTATTTGATGCCTTCCCTATATTCTATGCATCGCTTTTTGTGAAACATTTGATTAAATTTTGATTAATTATCTAAACATTATTAATACCGGAGTTTAGAAAGTATAGAAAATTAGATTATTTTCACGGAATATTAATTATTAATTAATTGAATAGAAATTGTTGTTAGAAGAAAGAAAAGCACTCAAAATCACTGTTTTCTTCTTCATGTGTTCAAAATGTTTCTTTATATACAAAGTATAATAACATATATTTTCAAAAATTGTTTTTATTTTTCAAATTTAACTTTTAATTAATTAGATTTTAATAGTTATTGTAAAAATATATTATAAGTTTAACATGTAGTAAATAATCTTCATTCAGGATTAGCTGTGGTTTGAGATAATTATTCCTCTCTAACAGTCACTGCAATTGAATCGCTGTTTTTCATGAGATTTAATGTTTCGTTAGATTTTATGGTTATTTCTTATATTATTTTTGTTTCGTCCAAACATTTAATGTCTTGTGTGGTCTCCAAACGGTTCGTGTGTTTATCAGGCGTTAAATCAGTTGAATTCATGTCTACTATTGATGTTTTATCACTTGAATCACTCTTACTATCTCTTTGTGGTCGCAAATCATTTGCATTATTGTTAGTGTTATTCAATACGTCCGACGATTGTGTCAACACTTGTCGCGATGTCTTCCTATGGCGGGAACCGGTACTCAATGTCTCACTCTTGTCACTCTCATGTCTTTCACCACTTTTGTCATGGATTGCAATAGCGTTGAAATCAATTAGAGAGTTGTGTTTGGTTTGATTGTTAACGATGTGAACAGTGGTGGGACTGGGATCGTATCCCTGTTCAAGTTTGCTCACTACTAGCCGTCCGTTCCGATCATTACTTTCCTTCGGAGTCCCACTCTTTGGTCTCGAGTCAAACGAAACGCTTTTTTGTTTGTTTCTTGTCTTACAGTAAATACACGTTAACTTTGAATGGGTTTTCCGAAAAACAAAATTGAAAAAAACTTAATTTGAAATACTATTAAACATTTTCTTATGTATGTCTAACTCTTACCACAATTAAACATAAAACGACTATTAAAACAATGACCGCTACTATGAATAGATAAATCAAAAGCATTTCTCTCTCTTTAATGAATTGCAAGAGTATTACAAAATTATAATTCAAAGTCAAAAGTGGTTTATATCACGAGATATATAATGAAATGTAATTATTTTAAATAATGAAACAATTTAAAAGTTTATACATTTGTGAATATGAATACGAAATGACATTCAAAATAAAGTAACAAAATAACAAACAATTCATTCGTTAAACAAAATAACAATATTAGAGACAATTTTATACAAACAATATATAAGTATTATTTAAGTAATATATAAGAAATATTTAAATGAAATTTATATGAATTTATATATAAGAAGAATATTATAGGAATACATGCCATGAAGTTATTGATGAGATAATCGATGTTTTCTTAACAAAACTAAATCATCAAAACTCGACTCACAATAACTGCACTTAAATGGCAGCCATTCATGCATTTTATGAAACCTTTTGAATCTCTTGCGCGTTCGACGCGATTCTTCGGCGGTATAAAAATCCACGTCTTCATCGGATCCATAGCCTTCGCTGAAGCACTCAAAGGGTCGCTTTGGCTGAATGGGCACACTTTCACCGCAATCTCCCGTTAGATCCCACGAGTGATTGGTCTCTTCGTCGAGGTCTATATGAACGACGCGTCCGGTGGCAGCGCTGTTGCCGTTGTTGTCGTCGCTGTGGTTAGCGCTTAAGACGTCGGCAACGCTGGCGAAAGACTTGTCGTCAGTGGAGTAGTGCTTGCGTTTGATATGAGCCGTCAATCCTTGAATTGTGGACGAAATGAATTTGCAATCCATTCGTCGGCATTCATAAAACTTTTGGCCTTTCTTTCGGACAGTTTTGCCAAATCGGTTGAACTCTTTCATGATATCGACAGTATTGGGACACAACTGGTGTCCACGCCTTACACTCTTGAGACGGAAGGGACAGACGTGTGAATGGATGTGCGATTTGATAGCGTTGTGATGGGATGTCGTGTACTGACAGTCGGCGCTAAAAATGCATTTATAGTACTTCTTGCCGTCGATGACAACATTAGTGCGGAATCTATTGATACTATGGTTACCACAAACGGCGTCCGGCTTTGCGGTGTCTTTCATGCCGTATCCGCACAAATGGTTCATTTTGTGGATCCGAAACGTATTGGGGTTGAAGTAAAACCTGCGACAACCGCTGACATCGCATCGGTAGACAAATGAGCGCAAGTGTTGGCCATTGATATGTACGGCCATTCTGTGGTGACCGGTCTTCCCGTACGTCTCGTATCGACAGTACTTACAAATGTATCGTTTGATGCCTTCAAACACTTTGAGCACCACTTTGTCCTTCACTCCGGCGAACGATTGGAAACCCATTCCCGAGACCAACGGTTTCGCCGATTTGGCCACTCTTTTGCCGACTCCGGGCGTCGAGCGATCGCTGGACACCAATTCATCAGCCGATGGGTTGTCACTCGTTTGGCCATCATTTGGCTCACTATCGGTCGGAATCAATGGGTTTGCGTTTTGCCATCGGATCCGTTGATCCGATTGATGCCATCGCTTGTGCGAAGCGAACCATCGCTTATTGAATAAGACTTTATGGCAACCGATTTGGCGACAAACGTATGCTTTCGTGTCCGCACTTTTGCCGATACTTTTCAAACGAGACAATAGACTCTTCGGCGGTAGTCTTCGGGCGACGGCCGACACGTCTCGGCGACGGATGTGTTGTCTTAATTGAGTATTGATTTCACACTTTTGGTGACAATCATTGTCTTCGCGACGGTTGGCCTTTCGGTCGTCAAACGGATCAGTTATGCGACGAGTGATCCGACCGGAAGTGGTTGAGTGATGAGTGGGTGATATCGTGTCCATCGATGGTGTGATGTGTTGTGTCTGAAGGGATGAAGAGATGGATCCGTTGTAATGAATGGTCAGAAATGACGAGTCATTCGCGCAATGATTGCAACGATTTTATTGTTTCCGCAAAAATGAATGCATTTTTTGAGCGCTTTATTCAAAAATGCATTAATTGTTGAATCATTTTGTTATGCATTTTATGTAAAGTTTTTTTGTTTTAATTATTTGTGTTTTAATTATAACTGCAATTAATGCTAATTAAACTCAATTAAAAGCTATTAAATGTTATTTATTTTGCAAAAGTATTTTCAATCAAATTGTTTTATTTATTTTTTGAAAAATAATGAAAGATTGAAATTAAACCCAATTTTGATATTAAATGAAATGGATTTCAAGAGTAATGTCATAATCAAAGTTATGATTTAAGGCATATTCAAAGCTGTAGTTATATCATGTTTGCAGTAATTTATATCGATATAAATATATAATTTTTACATTAAATGTTGAATTTGTTTTCAAGTTTATTAATGTTTAGCCAAAGAAAAAGTAATTACTAAATAATTGTTTTTCTCATACGTTTGCTTACGATTAAATTAAAAGTATATTTTTATACTTAAGATTAGCTTAAAGTTTATTTTCATTTTGTAAATACTTTGAATTATGTGCGCAAAGAATGTAATGTTTAGTTAATATTAATTTTAATTATAAACAAATTCATGACTTTTATTACCAGTAAAACTATTTATGGACTCAAGAATTCATGACTTTTTATCATAAATTATTTGTAGAAATGACTTAATATTTCATTAATAGCTTATTCTGTGTTATTTTCTTCTCATTTATTTGCTCTCAATATATATTCATTTGGAAAATAACGCTATTTTCTTACTCTTTAGATACCGTACCATAAATGACATCCTAAATGATTATATGGTCACTAATACAAGACATATGACCACCGATGGCTACTCTAATGGCAATGACAACAACAATAATAATAATAACAATCATAACATTCATTATAACTGGAATAAGAGTCGACCGACTTCTAGGAGTTCCCATCAGAAAGACTCACTAAAACATAACTCTATTAATAGTATAACTGATATATTTGATGACTCCGACGATGAGTACGATGAGGGCAGGTATGCATACAGACCTTTAACAGACCATTACATTAATGTCATTTTTATATCAAATACATTAATTTCTATATATAAAACCTGATACCTGTTTATGATATATTGGATTCAATTTCGTTAATCACACGCGAATCCAAAGAGTTTTCAAAAAAGAGTTATGTTTTAATACATGTCTTATATATATTGCAGTTTGAATGAAGAGGAAGACGAAAAGGAAGAGTTTATGAGAGGAATGGAAACGTTTCTGAGAGGAGTAGCCCTCAGAAAAAGTCAAAGCCGTGACCCCATCAACAGCGGCGTCGACACCACCGCACAGATAGGCATTGAGTACCGGCTCATCGGTTGCGCAACATTTCACAAGAGCTATCGGTAAACAGTTTTTCAAACTATTTTTTGCCTGTTTTTTAAGTTTAAAAAATTGGTTTAATATATTTATAGCCACTTTTTTCACTGCTATTTTGTTTGATGTCTTAATAAAAAGTTTAACAGTAGAGTAACAGTACGGGTCAGTTGGATGCTAAACAAGTACTCGTTATTATTATTTGTTGTATTATATGGTGTATTGAGAGGCAAATTCCTGCGCCTAACACATCAAAACCATAATCATATGAATTATACTATATCTTTGTGGCCATTAATTTTGAACTCATCTCAACCTAAACTCCCAGTTATATATCTTAAACAGTTATGTCTTAATAACGAAAAAAGTCTTATTTATAATATAATCCTTAATTTTGAGTATATTTTTCCCCTTAAATACATAACAATTTCTCTCAAATCTAATTATTTTTCCGCAAAAAACTTTATCATATGTTGTATATTAAAGAAGTCCAACGACTATATTATACCGGAGTTTGCAGTCAATCATATCAAGCGATTCGTATTAACCGATAAATAAAGTTCTCAAAGAAATGTATTTTTCAAAATTGATGTACTTTTTAACCTCTTCTCAATGAATACCTTTCCATACGTTTGACTCTTGAAGTCATTACAGAATTCATAATAAGGTTTTTCTTCTAAAACTAAGAAAAGATTGCATTAATAAATAATAACATAGAAAAACTAATTGTGTATTACATTCAATACTGCATTTAATTTATATATCATTTTACTGTTGTATGAAATAAATTTTAAGATATCTGATAACAGAGTTAATTGAAAAGACTATGGGATTCATAATTGTTTTGTGAAGATTGGTTCGTGAAGTGAGACATCTTTTAATAGTTTCACTGGTATTTGGAGTTTCAATAGAAGTGAACTCTCATTTGAAGAGAGAGAGAGAGAAGAAAACGTTATCAAGAAAAATATAAATTTTTCACTTATTATATTAATACTGAGAACTGAAAAAAAGAAACTAAAAAACTTTATAATGTGTTAATGTTTAAAGGCTTGAAAAATAGTATAATTCTCAGACAAAAACGTTTTAATTTTTTGATTAAATTGTATGAGAAATAGGAAATCAAAACAAATACAATTTGTTATGTTTATCACAAATACAATTTACAATAACAACGGGAAAAATGTTTGAAATTATTTTTCTATCCATTCGTGTGAATATTTCTGGAAAATGTCAAACAAGATATAAACGAATGGTTTGATTACATTTAGGATATGTTTTCTTTTTCTTTAATATCTTCATCTCTATTGAGCTGTAATTCATATAAAAGTTTTATAGAAGTCAATAAAAATTAGTTATGAAAACACGAACAAACTGTTCATAAAAGCTAAATATAGATACAAAAGACGTTTAGTTTTCTATGAAAATATAGAAATTATTTTTAACAATGTTTATACAGTGTTTGCAATATTAAATTGTATAGATTTTTATATTACTTTAATACATTTAATAGATGTTAAATTAAATTGATGTAAAATTTTTAAATGTGTCAGAATAATGATTAAAATATTTGTTTTATTATTTTAATTTCAATGTTCAAAGAAATATCTGTCTGTTAGCATAAAAACAATGTTATGTAAAAAATTTAATTTATTACTAAAATATAAATTATATTCAATTGAATAACTGTTTTTAAATATACATCTCTCCAAAAGTGGGCTCTAATTTTGAAATAAGAGCACAAAAAACGATACATTCATTTCGGTATCTCTTCCCAACACAACAATCATTTAGGATTTGATTTATATTCATTGAGAAAGAGAAAGAATAACTTTTAAAATAATAAAAATTCCTTATCTCTATTCGCAAAACACTATTTTCTATACACATTTTGCACACCAAAAGAGATTACGACAAAAAACAACCCAAAAAATATATACCAGTATTTAATGAATCGATTAATAAATGGTTTATTTGTTATTTATTTCGTGCCTTACAGTTGACGGCACCGTCGGAATTACTACACGCTGTGGTAGCCCTATATCACACATATTTACCCGGATATTCACTGGAACTACTCTACAAGACTTTATGCAAAGAGGGATCGCGTACTCTATTGCTTCTTAGGGACGGAACCGGTAAGCCGTGGCATCACTTCTTCCATCCATTATATACTGTTAACAACAAATCTCTAACTTTTATTTTATGATTGTTTTTTATATTTATCTCTCATTTTTTGTTTCTCTTTTCTCTGTCTCTTACTCTCCGATAGAAATCATTAATGAGTTGAAAAATAATAACAAGAATAAAAACGTTAAGAAATCGGGTAATTATGAAATTTTCTTTGTTGTTAATCTTACGCTAAGTTTTATTTTTGCCAAACGCTTGAATTTAATGAAATTCTTTGCAAGTTTTTATTTATTTGTTTTTATCAATTCCTTTGAGACATATTTTTATGGGATATTAGAGAAGAAATAAAAACCGGAGACTTCTATAGGAGTCTCACTATTGTGTACAGAATAATAATAATTGAGTGAAAGTACTTCACGTATGCCTTTATATGTATGACTCGAGATATTTCATATCTCTTTCTATAATTTATTCTCAAAACTATTTCTTCTATAGGAGTCTCACTATTGTGTACAGAATAATAATAATTGAGTGAAAGTACTTCACGTATGCCTTTATATGTATGACTCGAGATATTTCATATCTCTTTCTATAATTTATTCTCAAAACTATTGAATAAATTATTCGACGCTTTTTGTAGACGAAATAATTTTAAAAACATTTTTCATAAATATATACCAAAACTCAATATCAAAGATTCAAACAATTGTGAAAAACGATTTATTTCACATCAATAGATATTTTTCTGGTAACAGATGGGAGAAAAAATTTAAAATAAAAAACAATTCAAAAGTTATATGAAAAATAGCGATACAAATAGTAAATAAGTGGGTGATCACTGATCAGGGTATTGCTTTACGTTATCATGGTTTTTAAAATCTACTACTGTATATCTTAATACTCAATTTATATCATTAATTTATATCATATAAAGAAATGCTATAATATATTAAATACACATCTTATATTACATGATTTTCAACATAAAATCCTAGTTTCGTATAAAATTGTTTGATTGAAAGTTAGTATTGATATAATATTTGATTGTCTACTTTATATCTAAAGGAAAATATTTTCTGTTTAATCGATAGAAAGAATTTGTTTCAAAAATCATAAGTGAATTTTGGGAAACCATAAGTAGTGAACCCCTTTAGGCCAACATCTGCTTCATTGTAACGAATTGTGGAAACAAATGAGAGTTCAATACATAAGAAAACTATCGGTTATCGATCATAATATCATCACAAAAAATGGTAAATCAAATTACGTTAGAGAATAGCGTAACGAAAAAACAATGGTTAGAATCTGAGAGAGTTATCGACGAAATCATAAGCTTTTTGTTTAATGAACTCCTCATTGAAGGGCTTCACGAGAAGAAATCAATTTTCATGTAAGAGTTTTCTTAACGACAAACAAACAAATTATAGTTAGTTTTTTTGCTATTTGTTTTGTTGTGTTGTGTGTTTGGCCGTCACTTATATTCAGTGGTGAACACAATAGCCGGGGATAACCATCAAAATGTTCACAAACTTCATTACATTAGCCTTTTTATAGAAACAAAAAACATCTGTAAATACAATTCGTTAATTTTTTTCGCTATACTTTTTCTTTTGTTGTGTTTGAATACCTTTCGGGCATTTAGTTTCGTTGCCATATCTTTAGATGTTTATTGTGTTTCGCCGTCTTCTCCGGCATTGCATACCGTTATTATTTGCCGACAAAATAAAAAATTATAGCATTTATATTTAATTTAAATTATGAAATAAATGTGAGTATGTTTTTCAACGGCGAGATAGTAATCAAATGGCAGATTGAGTTTAATTGGAAATTATTATTACAGCAACTTCTTCCCTAAAAACTTACAAAAACTATTAAGTTTTTGCCGGTATTATAGTTATTAAGACCGAGTGTTTAGAAGTGTTTAATGTCCTCACATTTGCCTATAAATCAAAATGATTATCAAAAAATTTTATCAAAAAATCAATATTTTAATATTTAATTAGATTTAAAATTATTGCACATTTTTGGCTATCTTTAAGACTATTTGCAAAATTAACTTTTCGTGCCTTCAATGGGTATTTTAATGTTGTTTTTATGTTTTCATAAATTCCAACCTTATATAAATATACAGTATTTTTATTTGTTATTTTTTGCCAAGATCTATAATTGTTGTGAACATAAATAATCGATACGTTATTATTTCATTACAAGTCTTGTGTTTTAGAGTTTAATTGAATTCAAATATAATAAATTTGAATTTAATTATTTCTGTTGTTTTTATATAAATCACGAATTATTTTAATAGTATTAATAAAAAAGAGAATTAATTTTAAAGTAATATTTCAACAGTAGATCACGATATGAAGTATTAGTGAAAATTACAATAATTTAATATTACTTTTTTAGATACAATACAATATATTAAATGCCATTAAATAAATGTTCAAGAATATAATCATTTGACAAATGTTTAGTATTTGTAACAATAAAGGGATTTGATATAAAAATATTAAATGTTGAATAGTTTTAAATTAAACTTTTATTTTGTTAAACGATCCATAAAATGGGTTTTATTTAAAGAAATTTAAAAATAAAATTCACTTAAATAACAAAACATACATTATTTAACAAAATATATACTTTAGATATTTAATAAAAACTTTTTGAAATTTAGTTAACATTATAAATACAATTTTCAGTTGAGTTGAATAACAACAATAAATGCGACCACAAGTCGACGGAATTTTCAATATCACCAGAAAGTGAGAACAAATCCAATGTCTTTGATTTGACACAAAGCGAAGACACTGACCATACGATCAGCAGTCCGTCGACATCGAGTCCCGAAGAGATACCAAACAATGAAACCCTTTTGTTGACCGAAAACACAATCCCCGCAAACGATGAGGCGATCGATAATTTGTCGGTCGTTTCTGGCGATGGCTATCAAAGTGACAACTGGTCCGTCGCCTCACATAAACAACAGCAGAGGTGAGTCTATACTTACACTCTTCCTATGGCTGTATATTTGCGTTATATAATTGTGTAAATGTTGTGTAAACCAAAAGCAAACCCATATATGACCTGAATTTTGCGAAATAAAGTCATTACTTATAACGCTATTTGACGTGAAGTTTATCGTCGATACAAAATAAATGAACGCAAAAATATATCGTTAAAACTTGACCACAAAATAGACAACAATAAAATGTGTTTGAAAAGCGAAATACAGTGTCTTTAAAAAAAATTGGATTAGTTTTGTTGAGACAGACAATCGGACAGACCATCATTTAAATGGACTTTTTTTTAATACAAAAAGTCAATTTATTTTATATGAAATTCGTTTCTCCGAAGTTGTGTCTCAATATAAAAGAGAGGCAATTGTATGAAACATTCAATTATATTGAGAATGAATCGATAAAACTGTGAAAAACATTCAAATTAACTGTTTTTTTGGCGAAGATTTTTTCGTTGTGTTAATCCGTGGATTTTTTTACGTTGAATTGAATTCATTTCGTGAATATATTTTGAATGAGAAAAGAGTTTTCCAATTAAATTAAAAAATAAGATAACATTCAAACTCGACATTTAAACTAAATCTTTGGACTTAAAATTGCACTCAAAAGCAGTTTTATAAATAAAAATATCTTTTTAAATTTAAATTATAAAAATCTTATCAAAAGTTCGTATATTTTAAATCTGTTTCAAAAACATTGTTTTTTGAAATTTTAGTTTTTGTTATTGTTTTAATTAAAATTCATGACCGTATCAAAAGTCTAGTGAAGGAGATATCACGTAAACTCATCTAGTGCCTATTTCCCTATTTACAAATATTGTTTTTATTATTTAGTTATTAAAAATGTTAAATTCAAACTGTTTTATATAACAATAGATACTTTTAGAAATGCTTTAATTCGTGAATTCCTGAGATATTCATTGAAACTCATTATTTAAGTAATCAAAACTTTATTTGAAACTTATGTTAAGTATATCTCTCGACAATGTATTTAATATTCACTTTGTGTTTGACTTATAATTGGATAAAACAAAGAAAAAACAATCAAAGATTAATTAGAAGTCAAAAACAGAGATACTTTGATCTTTAAATCAAATAATTTGATGTTTGAGTGAATCTTATTATCAAAATTACTGCAACTTTTACATACCATTTATAATTGACGCACAAAACATATACTTTTAATTAAAATTAATGACATGTAATAAATATAATTGTATTTATGATCACAATAAGAGTACACTTGTAATCGTAATAAAAGGCACTTTTCTCGTCGGCCACACATTTCTTTGACAAACGTCTCAATAGGAATGGAAATGAGATCTCATTTAATTGATTTACTTTTTCTCTGCACTCATCTCTCCCTCGCCTTCATCTCTCTAATGATATACCAAATGATTTGACTCACAAATAGCTCTTATGTTCAATAGTTATGCTTATATTTAGTTATATACGAACAATATATGAGGAGTACTTCATAAATGCAAACAAAATATGAGTTTATTGTTAAAGAAATTGATGAAATTCTTCCCCAAAAGTACTCTATAATTATTATTTGCAAAACAATACCCTTTTTAACTGAAAACAAAATCCAATAAAAGATTATAGCTTTTCAAATGAAGTGGTGATCGATATCTAGTAATTTTAAAAACAATTGGCGTATAAAATATCACTAACTTTACAGACAATTGGCAAATATAAAAAACAAATACTCAAAACAATTGATGGCTTGAGTGCTGACTCTCAGAGATTACTTCTCCTAACAATTTCCGGCAGTATTTATGCGATCAATAAACTCAAGACTTTTCGATCAATAAACCGGTGGTAAGACTAATACTAATACTATTCATGAATATCGGATCCACTGATTAAACGACTTCGTCTTATTTGTCTTTCATATGAATATAGAGTTGTTTTTAATTAAAAATATACTAAATTTGCTTATTATTTGAAAATACATATAAAAAAGTTTTTCAAAAGACAAAATATTAATAAAAACTTTAAATAAAGTTCTCAACGAAACAAAAACTAATAATAAAATGTTTCAAAACAGTAAATAAAGTATTATATGACTTATTTCTTATGAATAACAAAATGATTGGTATTATATATTGTATTCTCCATAGAATTGAATGGATGTCTAATTAATTTGATGCCATTTCTTGTTTTGCAAATAAACAAAATCATAAGACATGAGCCGTTTCTCACAAGCATTTATTAATTTCCTTTTTCAATGTCTTTGCCGTAATGTTTAATATATTATTAAATATATAACTTTATTAAATACAGTGTTCGTTATATTTTTAAAAAATTATACGGATTTGCATAATAGTCATAACAAGCAATGAATTATAAATTGCTTAAAACTCGCGAAACACATAATTTACAAACAAAATTTTGTTTTGCAAATAATAATTATATAGTACTTTTGGGGAAGAATTTCATCAATTTCTTT